TGCAAATAAAAAAGGCTTCCTTTAACAATCAATTAAAGTATGATTACATCGTGCGATAAGGTAACTGATAGCTGATAGTAGTGTTTGGACGAAAGCTAGGGGCCGCCAGATCAAAACATGGCACAAATCCATGAAGTCACCGACAAGTGGACCGAGTCATGATGGTAGATGTAGGCTACCTGGTTGGGGTTCGCGAGATGGTAATAATCGATGGTTAGCGAAATCATGAATGACATGGATCAAAACCGTTTGCAATGTCGAAGACTTTAACAAATCACAGAAAAATATTCTTAACGCTACATTCAACACATAAATTATAAAAAGATAAAGCTGTTTACTGAATAAAAATAAGTAGTATAACAGTATTCTACGCAAAATACTTAGTATTCGTTGGCCAGACACCATCAGCAGCAACTAACTATGGGAAAGAACAAACCAGATTCCAGTGGAGGAGGAAATGAGGGAAGAAACGGTGGAAGTGGATAGGACACACACTACGAAAAGCACCTAACTGCGTCACGAGACAAGCCCTCACATGGAACCCTCAGGGGAAAAGGAAAAGAGGAAGGCCAATGAACACATTACGCCGAGAAATAGAGAAAGACATGAGAAGAATGAACAAAAACTGGAAAGAACTGGAAAGGGAAGGCCAGGACAGAGTTGGATGGAGAAAGCTGGTGGGCGGCCTATGCTTCATTGGGGGTAACAGGCGTAAGTATGTAAGTAAGTAAGTATAACTCAATACAACAGAAACAGGAGGAATGGGTAAAAACAGCTTAACAGTAAAGAAGAGTTGAAGTTAAGAGAAATGATTGGTGGAAAGGATGGTCTTAACGTAAATAAAATAAAAATTAGTTTAACGGTTGTTTCATCACAAAAATAAAAATTATACTGATAATAAAATTTCTAAAGTTGTGATATGTTGAATAATGTCTCTTTCTGAACACAAGAATCATCTTTAAGTTTCTAGTTACGATTGCTTTGATAAACGAAAGAGAAGCTTCGCTATTTTGTCTGATAATAGTTTTAAAGGATATTGAGATGTCCATGACATGTCTGGCATAAATTTATTGTTGAGATATTGCTGCGACTCTCAGTCTTAAATTTTTTGAAACGCTAATAAATCTTAATATATGCTCTTCTGTATGTTCTGTCAATTTCTGTATCTTGGTATACACATGTAAATCGGTATATGTAGTCGGGATTACTGATAAAACCAGTTTTCAATTTTATTCTGTATAACGGAGCTATTCATTTCTAATAACATCATAAGTTTTACTGTAGCAGGAGCAATTTTCCTCGCGGCTTTTATCCGTCGGAGGTATTTCATTTCAATAATTCGTTATGGAAGAAGTTCAGGATATTTAAAAATTTTTAATCTGTTCCTTAAAGAGTTATCTTTGTAAAGAGTGATGAGACGTCAACAGATAACAAAAATTCATACGGAAAATTTAAGCTGTCAAACTTATATACAAATTCAGACCTATCTTTCAGACTTTAGGGAGCTGGCTTTTTGCGTGTATGTTTTTAACACATAGTCAACCAAATAGGTAATTTTCAGAAAGTTGATTTCATATTAATCAACAGTTTATCAATTATACAAATGAATTTAGAGAGAAGTAGATGATTAATGCAATTTATTTAGTCAGCAAAAGAAAATGTTTGAAATATTTTTTACCTACTTAAAAATACTAAGTAGTAAAAAACTCCCTGATAAAAAGAATTGAATTTTAAGACTTGCTAAATTTTATAGTGAGAAGCCGTCACCAGTGGAGTTCAACTATGTGAGACAGTAATCTCCTGCAGGCGATTGATTAACATTGCGTAACATCATAGAGTGACTAAAATTATACGCTATCTACAGTGGACACTGACTCAATGGTCTGGAAATTCAGTGTTTACGTGAGAGTCCTGTAGTCTTGGGATCGGTTCGCATGTACATAAGTCATGGATGAGAACTACTGACCAATTTCATGCTAGAAAGAGTTGACCATCTAGTGCATCCATGTTTCGAATGATGGTCTATATTAGATCAATTCATGATTTCAACTATAAAGGATGGCTAAATAATTGCAGAATACATTCATTGATCACTGTTAAATCGAATATATTCACTAACTAGTTGTTTCAATCGTTACGTTACTCAAAATCATTGACTCCTTCAGTAATTCATCAAATTCATAGAAAATTAGTTATCTGTAGCATCATTTTCACATTGTTATTGACTACACTGACCTTGACTTCAAATCGAATAAATGTTTCTCATCGATAATACATGCATATCCATGGACAAGTTAACAAGTTCTGAATCTATTATTCAACTGTTTTTTATTGAAGTAGCTACACGATAATTATGCATATTTTTAGTTTAAAATCAAAACTAAACAAGTAACTAAGTAACTTGTTTGTTATAAGTCACATTCTATCAAAATGATAATATTACACAGTGTACCCACTCAACGCTCTCTCTCTCTCTATTACTCTCTTCATTTACATAATCCATGTTGAATGGAAGAAATTTATCTATTCAGTCAAAATAATTCGATTCTATTTTCTCGTCAATAAATAAAAATAAAATTCAATTATATAATCAGTGGTATGAGAACAATCGACCAGTGGTGATATTAATGCACATACATACATATCTTACTGTTGAGTGTAGAGATAAATTGTCATTCTTAGCTTTTAACATAAACAGTATTTATATTTATATGTATATTATTTTATACAAAGTTGATGTTTGGTTTAATTCGTACTGAACTGACTCATAGTTTTATAGCTCATGTTATGATTATATGAACAAACGTTTTACAGACACAAGTTGATAACAAAGAAGAGAGAAATTTATATATTTCGAACAAGGAAACAAGTTGATTTTTTCAAAAAATTTTTTAAAATGTAGCATACCGATAATATATAGTGTAAAGAACTTTCTAATCGATAAAACTACAAGTATATTTCACATGTGAACAACATGTATGCTCATGGTTGAGTGCAATGATTTATTCAAGAATTGGTTAATAACAAAAAACACACTCAAAAAAGACTGCCTGAACGTTTTATCCTAGGATGAGATTGACCAGTTCGGGATGTTCGGTGTTGTGCACGAACCTTTAAACTCTAGACTGTTACGCCTACATGTAAGTAAACACGTCATTTTGATATGCTTGAACTATTACGAGTTTACTTTAGTAGGAAAACGAGAGCGAGGATCAAGGAGCCGGTGACACAACATACTACTCAAATCCGATTATCCCAACCCCTATTGAGTAAAAGAAGAAAGCTTGATATGAAGTAGAACCAGTATTCTACAAGCACCTAGAAAGTACGAGGTCCGAATCCAGAAGAGAATCAGGATACCGGACTAGAGATCCGGGACCGGGTCCTGGTCCTAGAATGTTACTGATAATGCCTATTTATACATTTAGGTTGAATAGGAAACATCATCGATGTCTGTGACATTGGCAGTTAAGACGACCAATAAGAAACAACATTTGAAGTGACACTGAAATTCAGGATGACCAATAAGAAACAACATTGGAGCTCAATACAGTGATATCTAGGACGTTCATAAAATTGACCAGTAGGAATTAACCAATAGGAATCGACCTATAATACTCCTCTTAGGACATTGGATGAATATCCTAACGTAGACTTTCGAGCTGACATCCAGCGGTATAAATGTCTAAATTTAATCGATTCAAAGTACTGCACAAACTCACCGATTATCTTTGATGAGTAACTGCCTCATACCCGATAGGGTTGAACTCCACTGGTTACGGCTTCTCACTAGAATTTCTCTACAGAGTTAGTCCACTAGTGGGCACCTTTTATGATATTTTATAAATAGAATTAGGAAGATTATTAAAAACCAGTTAGGTTCATCCTTTTCAGGTGTAGCCAGTAACCAACAAAGAAAGTGGGTAAGGTTGCGCAATATATCTCGGAATGATTTGAAATGATTTGGATTATGCCGTTGTTGATATTTTCACTGAAATTTGACCAGTCTTAGTTGAAGTCCAAAGTTTGAATTTCATCCCATTTAGAACTCATCACCTGAATGTAAGTATATTTCAAAGGTAATGTTCACTTCAAGACTGATTCCTGTTGCATAAGTTAGTAGCTATCTGTACTCAGTACACAACCGTAGCTGCTTCCTTGACGTGGTGGTCGGGCTTGTCTACCTTGATCACCCAACCGAGCTATATTGGCTGGAACATACGTTCCTGAAAGTTTTACCATGCAAGGCAGGTCGATTGGAGAACGATCAGACTAAAAGCAGCTACTCAAGGTCTGAGGGTGAAGTCGTACTGCTGACTGTGATGGAGGAGTGTGACAGCAGTAAGGTGTTTCCCTGGGACAACCAGCATCTACAGCGATGCTGCCTTCTCACAAGGAAGGAAGTGTTAGAAAAGGTCGACCCTAAAAATGTCATACCTCAGCCTACCTCACAGATTTCCGTCTCCGTCGGTAAGGATGCCCACTTAGGGCTCTCAAGAGCGGAGCTAACACTCAAAAAACCTTTAAGTGAAAAGGCCGTGCGTGACCGCCTCAAGCATTTGTCCTTTGGGCACTGCGGCCACGCTCCCACGTCTCAAAGACCAACAATAATCTACCTTCTTTTTCAGGTTCGTCAAGAAACAACCTTCCACGGCGTGTGCAGCCGGAAAATGACAACCGCCCTCATAACCGTAACAGCACGCGAGACCAAATTGGTCAAAATCAAATCCTTTATACTCAGTAACTAAGTAAATAGCATGATAGAGTGAACATCACCTTTGGGATGTGGCTAGTACATCAGTATGACAAGTAGTAAATAAGAGGAGACCTACGTCCTGGATTTCGCCGCTAGCTACATCTTGAATGATCAATTTTAGTGCCTACAATTATAACGTCCGAAAAGATTCAAACTCTTATTAGTACTGTAATGAACATTTAACAGAGTATACATTTCTGAATGATATTATTGGATAGCAAACAGAACGTATTGACAAATTCTCTCACTTACTTTTTTCACTGAAAGGCTCATTAATCTGTACAGTTGGTAATGTTTTTGACTTTGTCGATATATTCAAACAACGTTTCAATCGAAAAATATTACATTTAACCAATGATAATTTTTTCCCATGTTTATGATATGTTTTTGTCAATATATCAGAAGATGATAACGACTGGAAATATTTTGATGGATTGCTAGTTTCCATCAATGACATGGAATAATCAACATCATTAAGTTTATCATCATGACTTCCTGCAAATATGGAATAAATATCAGACATTGAAAATTGAACATTTGACAGAGATTGTTTTCTCTGTTGCTGTTGATGTCGATGATGATTGTCCGTTCGATGATCAATAATTGTCCAGCTTTTATCAACACCTGATTCTTTTAAAATTTCATTGACCAACTGGGTCGCTGTAATATTTTCAGAATTTAATTTCTGATTATTATCATTATCATCGTCATCATCATCAGATTCCAGATTATCATCAAGATTAGTGATTTTTAAATGAGTTTTGAAATTACCGCCGTTTTCAACTTGTTCATTTAAACAATCATCAAAATTTATAGAACCAGTGGAAATCGATTGCGAGGAAACTTCATCAATAGATCTACGATTTGTAATACTTATTTCATCTAAATTATTAGAATTCTGTTTTAATTGTGAGTGGATTAGTGAAGATTCTTTTAATGTATGATATTGTGATTGAAGATTATACGAATCACTGGTAACACATTCTCTTGTCGGCTCAACAGACAATGTAGCTGATTTATGTTGATGTTTGTTGATGGGACGAGTTAGTTTGATGTGTTTTTTAAATTGTTTAATTGTCCAATTATTTGTATTACGTCGAGATTGTAATAATTTCGGTGATGTAATATGTTCGGCTGCATGAAATGTATCTGTTGAAGTTGAATTATTCTCTACCACCAATATGTCAGGACTTTGATGGGATAAAATGTGTTTCGGCGGTTTCTCATTGTTATTATTGTGAGATTTAATAAGATGAAGTGTTGGATTAGAAAAATATCGTTGGACTAATTTCAAACGATCAAGTAATGTTTGTTTCGGTTTCTCGTTTGTTGATAAATTAGGAATTACTCCAGTCATGATCAAATTCAATTTCTATCAATTTGCTGATATCTCACTCCTGAATGTGATATTGATGATAAGTATTTAATTGTCAGAGGAAAAAACTACTTCTCCGTTGGAATGTTTGTTTTAGTTTAGTTAGTAATCAGTATAAACGACATTTGTAATTGTTGGCATGAAAGCTGCAAATAAGGAATGCAGAAAAAGATATTTTTTGAAAAAACACACCTAGAATTGTATTCACCCTATAAAAATTTCTTAACTAACAACTGTGTTAAAAAAATTTGGATTCCATATAAATTTGTGTTGGATGTTATAATTGAATCGAACAAAAATATCTGACCAAAAATTAATGTTAAACATTATCGTATCATACATTGCAGAGACCACTCCGACTGCTTCGACGAGCTATGTTTTGTGGTGTAAGAGTAGGTTGGAAGAAAGTTAGGGGCGGTCAGACCAAAACATGGCAGTAATCCATGAAGTCACTGACTGGTGGAATGATTCATGTTGGTAGATGTTGGCTACTTGGTTGGGGTCCGCGAGACGAAAGTCACCGATGGTTAGAGACCTTGAGCAACATGGCTCAAAATCGTTTGCAATGGCGTAAGTGCATCCATCCTAATCTTCTGGATTCGTCAACACCCCTACCTTTGTATTTCTAACCTTATCTCACTAAATTATACTTCTTGAATAACATCTTCAAACTCTAATCTTCTTCATTACCATTAATACCTGTACAGATGTTGAGAGAGTTCTAATGTATGGGGCTAAAATTTGAAGAACCAGAAAGACGACAGTCGACTAGATACAAGTGTTTATCAACAGTTGTCTATACTGGTCAGACACAATGAGCAAAAACCTATTGTGAAAGAGAACAAACCAGATCACAGTAATGGAAAAAATCAGGAAGAACCTCTGGAGGTGGATAGAAGACGTATTGAGGAAAGCACCAAACGGCGTCAGAAGAAAAGCCCTCGCTTGGAATCGTCAAGGTCAAAGAACATATTATGCCAAGAAATGAAGACAGAAATGAGAATAATGAGTGAATGACAATTGGACAGAACTAGCAAGGAAAGTCGAGGAAATTGTCGGTTGGAAGAGAATGCTAGTACGGCGGCCTATGCCCCACCACAGTGGAAACAGGCAAAAATAAGTAAAAGGTATCAGACAATTTCACCATGATAATTGTAATCTAAGATTTTTATGAATATTTTCTTCGTTTATCATTTCATGAGAAATTTATTTCTAGTTCTTTTTACTTCTCAAACTAAATCAATTTAAAATTAATTACACATTTTTGAAACCATGAATCGATCATTGTTAGACCACCATTAGAAACCTGGAAGCACTGGACGGCCGTTCCGTCCTGGTATGGGACTCACCAGTGGCAGTGCGCATCCACGACTCCTGCACCCCGCAGGATTCGAACCCAGGACCTTCGGTATTGTGCACGAACGCCTAACCATCGGACCACTGGTGTTAATGTCTAACTCTGATTGATCCAGGGATTTTGCGCGACCTCATCCATTTGTCTTTGGTAGTTACTGCCTACACCCGGCAAGGTTGAACTCCATCGGTCACGTCTTCACAACTAGAACTCCGAGAATTTCCTCATGAAGCTAGTCACTAGTGAGCACTGTTACGAAAATTTTAGTTAGAGCTTTGGAGATTTGTGTTTTTATACATTTGTGTTTAAGCTTTCCACTCTTTGACTAAAAGTAGCCAGAGAGAAAACATACAACGCTGTTAAACTGATTATCATTGAAAAGACGAAACCCATGATTTCCCATAGACCTAAACGTTGCTCGAATGATTACATCACATCCCACTGCATTTATCAATTTACATGTTTGTGTGGACACACATACATAGGGAGGAGTAATCGGACTTCGCAATCAAGGGTTATGGGGAACATGTACCCAAATGGCTTCAAAATATGTTAACGTCAGATGAGCCGATTAGCGTTGGAAATAGAAAACTATGTTCATCGATCGCAAAACATATAATTGAGACAGGGCACAAGATTGACATCAAGACAGCTTTCAAAACGTTGTACAGAAATGTTGAAGGACGAATTTTGAGGTTTATGACAGCCTTGGCTATTTGAAAATTAAAACCTTCAATTTACCCTGGTAATCTTTAAGCCTAGAGTAACCTTTCTTATTCTTTTCATATTACGTTAATTTTCTCTCTCCTTTATTTACAATGATCGCCTTATGTCTATTTGAACTTTTATTTAATTGACCTTTTATTCATCTTCATATAAAATGCCTTGACAAGTGTATGAATGTGTGTGACCAGATTGTTCGAACTATGTATAGCGTGCAAATACACATCACAACATTTTTATACATCAGATTACATCTTCTCACTGTGTTCTATCAAAATGTGTAATGAAAGTTTGATAAATTTAGAATTTAAAAAAATTTAACTGATTTTAAACATGATAATGTAATTTTGTACAAAAATTCATGTTACTCATGGCATAATCTTTTGTATTTTCTTTTCACGATAATCATTAATTTAGTGCTCATATACATATACTTGTTGTATGTTCTGGTTTTTGTTGAGTCTTTTTTAATGTGTACATAAATAATTGACTAATTATTGATTTGCATGAAAAGACGGTCAAAGATGATGAGAATAAAGTTTAATTGATCATTGGGTATAATGGAAAGAGATTTGGAAGAGACTTTTATATTAATATTTTCATAGTCAGTCAGTCAGTTAGATACAACGTAGAACTTCGTACATAGGTATGTACATCAGTTCAAGTTTGCCATACTACATTAACAGACAGAGATGAAATTTTCAATTCGAATCACCCAGTAGTGGAATTAGTAGACATATTCGCAGTAATGGAAAAGATTAAAGTTATTCGAGAAGTGCAATGAACTTCAAAAGTGAAAGAGAAAGGTGATGAGGAATTCAGAAGATTAGGATTTGAGAGAACACAAAGAATGGATGTACCTGCTCGATCGCAAACGATTTTGAGACATGTCGTTCATGGTCTGTAACCATCGGTTACTATCATCTCACGTCTATATCTACTAGCATGATTCAATCCACTTGTCAATGACTTCATGGATTTATGCCATGTTTTGTTTTGGTTTTGCCGCATCTCAGCTTTCTTCCTAACTACTCCTACACTACAAAACAAAACTCATTGAGGCAGTCGGTGGTCGGGCATTCGTAACATATGTCCCAACCACCTCAAGTGATGAAGTTTCACTACTTAATCTATTGATCTGCCATCCTTACCTGAGACCCGGTTCCTAATAACATCATTGCTCACTTGGTTGTCCCACGATATACGAGCAATGCTTCGAAGACACCTGTGATCGAAAACCAGTAACCTACAAATATCTTCTACTTTCACTGTTCATGTTTCGCATCGATATAGTAGGATGGAGCAAAGTGCTGCGCAGTACACTTGTTCTTTAGTCAAGAAATGGATATCTCGAATACGCCACAAGTGACGCAGGTTGGCAAAAGCCACCTTCTTTATCCATGCTGAGATTTCATCACACATCAGTCAATCAGCACTGATGAGACTCTCGAGATAAGTGAAGCGGTCAACATGCTCAACTGCCTCATTCCCTATCACTAGATCAGATGCTGATACGAGCAAATCATGACTTGTTAAAACAATGCAGATTAATCCAAGCTATTAGTTAAATAATTCAGTCAATACTTATTTCTTATTTATAGTGTATAGAGTTACGAGAGCATATAAACTGTTTAGTATAGAACTTCATTTATTTTTTTTGAAATTAAAATTTAAACTCTGACATTAACGGTGTTAATGTCTAACTTGATCAATTCACGGAGTTGCGCAACCTCATATACAGTCTTCGGTAGTAGTTACTGTCTACACCCGAACAGGTTGAAATACACTAGTCACGTCTTCCCACTAGAACTCCTCACGAAGCTAGTCACTAGTGAGCACAGGTAGTTTGCATTACGGGGTTGTACAGATTGTTAAGTTACACATTTTTGAAACCATGAATCCATCAATGTTAGACCACCATTAGAAACCTGGAAGCACTGGACGGCCGTTTCGTCCTGGTATGGATGCGCACTGCCGAGGAGTCCCATACCAGGACGAAACTGCCGTCCAGTTCTTCCAGGTTTCTAATGGTAGTCTAACAATGATCGATTCATGGTTTCAAAAATGTGTAACTTGATAATCTTCACAACCCCGTAATGCAAAATTAATTGTCTTCAATTCATACAAAACATTTCTCATAAATCGAAAATTTAATTGACACATTCATATTTCAATACTCAATTCAATAAAATTGAATGTGTTTATTTTTTTTTTCTTTCAAAATGTATATTCGCAATTACAAAATGCATAATGCAATGATTATCGAATTGGCTGATCGATCAGCGACATCAATTTCTCCTTTTATTGGTGGTTAGAATTTCATTGATTGCCTTTTTTTCTCTGTTGTAGTAATTGTTGTTTGAACGAGTAGGATTTCAAAATTCCATTACATGTTAATTAGAATTTCATACATTTTTTTTACGATTGATAATGAAGTAAGAATCACAAATATAACACTTTATGGAGCTACTCTAAGGGCCATTGTCAATTGCTGAAACTGGATAACGGAGGAGGATTGGGGTTAGCGACCCCATCCCGTAGAAAACCAGAAAAAATAATTCAAACCATTTTTAACTCTGCCCTAGGAGGTCTTCATTTTGAAGAGTCATGATGTCTCATGATGTAAGCCGAGTTTCCTTCGGAAGTCACGAGGTCGATTCCCCATTTTGACAACCACAGCAACCATTAATTTAGGTATATTGAATGTTCGGACAATCTGGTAGAGTGAGAAAGTCATCCAAGTTACTTTGGAAGAGAACGAACCAGATTTCATTGGAGGAAGAAATCAGGAAGAATCTCTGGAAGTGAATGGGAGGAGAGCATCCGACTGTGTCACAAAACCAGCCTAAGCTTCCTCACTGGAAGTAACAGGCATCAGTAAATAAGTGAGTAATGAAGTAAGTAA